GTAGTCCTCTTCAGTTGGGAAACAGCATAGGCAACCACTCAATCCTTCCACTCCTTTGGGGCTGGCATGGGCCCTTTCACTTCCTTCCAGGAACATCCAATCATCGTGGTGGAATTTATGGACTGGAAACTTCAAAGGTGGTGTTTGGGCTAATAGTCCTTGTTTCCTAAAAACTTTAAAGTATCTGGACGGTTTATACACATATTGTTTCAATACTTTGTCTCTGGTTTCCAGGAAATTAATGCATATGCTTCCTGTAGTGAAAACTACTCCAAACAACAATTCATATGATGATAATCTTTCTAGGTTGGGTATAATAAAACTCTTGACACCACTGTTGCTGTAGCATTACTGCAGAGAAAAGCTTCAACCCACCCTGTGAGGTGGTCCACTATGACCAATAAATATTTTACTCTCCCCACTTTTGGCAATTCTGTAAAATCCACATGAATACATTGAAATGGTCTTAAAGCTGGTGGTCTCCCACCCATCTGTTGTTTCCTGACAGCTTGTTCATTCACCTTTTTACAAATCAAACATTTGTTTATAATTAATGTTACTAAAGGATATATCCCAATACAACCATAGCTTTTTAAAAGTTCATCTACAATAGCTTGAATTCCCCAATGACTCCACCCATATTTTGCCAAATGAATGCACTATCCCAAATGCATAGTCTCCAGCATCCCCCTCCCTTTTTTTTTTTTAAATGTGCAGCCCTTCTCCGGGAGACTCAGAATTATAATGCGTTAAGCAATAGCCTTCATAAAGTCAGCTTATTGCCCCCACAAACTGGGTCCTCAATTCACCTACCTTAGAAAGGATGGAAGGCTGAGTCAACCTTGAGCCTGGTGAGATTCGAATTGACAGTAATTGCAGACAGCTGGTGTTAAATTACAATGCATTTGTCTACTGAGCTATCCAGGCTCCCTGTCCATAGAGCTTAATTTAATGAATACCATTCAAAGGTTTGAGCAGACCAATTTCGAGGCAAACCCCTTGTTTCCAGGATTTTTCCGTACTCCCCCTTCCACCCTAGAGGAACCATTTATACAAATTGCTTCTCCTTTCTCCAGGGGGAAAGTTCCTCCAAATCAGGTCTTATTTTTGTTTGTAAGTCAATCACTTCAGCAACCTTAATGTTCTAATCCAAACTGATCCATTGATCTGGTGTTGGCTAAGAACTGTGCTTGATTCAAATTGTGATCTGTAGTTACAATCAAGTCTGTCTGCTGCATTAAAATTGTTTCATTTGTGTGTATGTGTGTGTGTGTGTGTGTGTGTGTGTGTGTGTGTGTGTGTGTTTTCAAAGAGATTGAATGGCTTTTCCAAGTTTGGTAAACTTAATACAGGAGCCTTGGTCAAAGCTTGTTTCAAATTTTCAAGGCTCCCTCTTTCATGTCCCTCCCATTTCAAACTCCAAGGTCCAGATACAATTAATTTTGCACAGAACTATCTTAATTTTTGCTTGTTTATAGATAGAGGCTGAGACGCTACTCCTGTCGGAAGGAAAAAGAAGCTTTTCCCTTTAAGAATTGTTGAAAGGCAGAGCTTTCCCTTCCTGAATTCAAAACTCCCGGCTGGGAGATTACTTCGAAATGATTGGAGGTCAGCTGCTTGAGAGTAGAATCAGTTTATTGTTTCTGGGGAGGCAGGCAAGAAACAAACACAAGCACAGCGTTCAGAGGCTAGCCTGTCGTAACTGTAAGAGTAACCCCCCCCTTTCCCCCCCCCCACAAAAAAACATCTTTTGATTTGGCGTGTGAATTCTTTGTTTTGTGTGTGTGATTGTTTTATGGTGGTTAAATCCTGTTTTTGTTTGTGATTAGGTTCTTCGGTCCTGGGTCTGGCAAATAAGTAATAGTTTTATAGTTCACTCTCTGTTTTTCCTAACCCTTTGTAGTTGTTCGTTCCCTATAATTATTCAGTTTGCTATTTCTGTGTTTTAGTGAATATCTTTCTTTTATAAACAAATTAGCTCCTTCTTCGAAAGGAACAACAACTTATGCTGCTAACAATCAAACAAACAAATCTGAAATATATTTGGATCAAACTTTAGCTTCAATTCTCTGCCTTTAGTAAAATGCAAGTCAGATTAAAAAATCTTTCAAAATCATTTCTTTTATATAGGTTTAATTAAACGTTTTAAACCTCAAAAATTTCCAGAAAAAAATAAAATCAAAATTGTATTCAGAGCAGAAAAGCTTTCGTATGCAAATTAAAGAGATCAGCAGCAAAAACCACATTAGCCGATCTTTCCCCCTTTTCTCTGCTCTTTCAGCAGAGAGAGAGATGTCCGCTGAAAAAAAATCCAACAGCCCACCCTTTTCCTGCTTCTCACTTCCAAAGGAAAAGGGGGGGGGGTAGAGGAAAAAAAACGTTTTACAGCAGGCAATCAAGCCTCACTTCATTCAGCATTTACCTGCTTCATTCAGCATTCTTCCAACAAAGCAACACATTCTGCATTTCTCTCTAACCTCCATAATTCACAGACATTTCCCACAAATTATATGAAGGGGAATTAAAGTGCATTTTCACCAACTTTTACCCTCAACACACTTCACATTCACGCTGCAATCAAACTGCGTACACCAATCTCACATGCAAAAATCTCATTCATGCAAACCAATCATTACAATTATTCAAGCACAAGTTTACTTAATTTGCTGGCCAGCCAAAAATATCACAATCAATTCAATTCCATTCAATTTTACACACTATCATTATATATATATTTTTAACAGAAATCACACCAAATTGATCAAGTCAAATTATCTGACACTTCCCATTTAGACAGGCTTTACCTCTTTACTGCCTGCTAAAGGGGGGGGGGAGAACAGTAAACAATGTCTTCTTTATTCTTAGTTCTTTCAGAGTGCTTTTTAAGAACAGCAATTTATCAGAAACTTTATAACACTGCAATTAGTTCTTTTCTCTTACCACACATAAGATCACGCATTTTTTTTTAAAAAAAACTTTTATTGCATAAGGTTTTCTTTTCTTCCCTTTCTTTAGTTTTCATCAAACAGACTCTAGCAAACTCTGCCTGATACTTGAGTAATTAAGGGGGTTTTTCTTTTTGTCTTCCACTGATCAATACTATTACCACCCATTCTAACAACACTATCCTGGCTCACGACGCTGGACGTTCCGACAGTTGTCTATGAGAACCGCAGAGGTTTAACCACCCGCACAATCCCGCACAATACTTAATTCCACAATACTTAAATACTTAATTCCAGATACTTCAGGACGCCACCTGGTCTCTGGGGGGGGGGGTGATCAGGCCCCCTCTGCCACCCCTTTAATGGGTGGGGTACCTCTAAACAGAGAGACTTTAACTCTCTGATTTATACTTACCTGTTTTCTTTTCCTTTTTCTTTCTTTCTTTCTTTTCTTTACGTTAAGGTCTCTGTGTCTGGCTAACCTTTAAGGATCCTTGACTAGCCTGCTTCGCCAGTGGTTTACGGCACCTCCTCACTGAAAGGTTCCGTGGACTTCAAAGGAGTCCTAATGGCCGGCCAGTGGATTTTCCTTGGGGAGGCGTCGGTTCCGCTGGGGCAGGCTGTCTGGCAGAACAAAAGTTCTTTGTTCTCTAGTCCCATCTGGAGTGCCATAAATGTAGTGGAATGGAAGGACTAAAAACATTCCCAGGCCAGTCAGAGACAGCTTTATTGCGCAAGGTTCAGAGCCAGATTTGTACCTGAAGCTTTGAACAAAGAAAGAACTCTGATACAATGGTTTTTATACATTTCTAAGACAAAGGATTCAGTGAAATCATACATTTTCCATATATGGTTAATCATGAGATCATACATCCGATTTTCCTTCTATGGTTACATACACTATATAATAAGTTCATCTAATTACTTAAAGCATTAATCTTAGTTTACAAAATTATCTTAGCCACACAACTTTTCTTAAGTGCTCAGAGTAGCTAATGGGAGAGTTACTACTATCTTTGGGTCAGTTCATTGGATTAAGTAACTCTTTGTAACATATAGGTCTTTGTGTCATTCACAGTCAGGTCACTCAGATGTTTTTCCATATAGCAGTCCTTTCCGTGACATCTAGGTCTCAGAAGATATATTACCACTTAAAGGGATATCAGGCTTGGAGATCCCCTGCAAGACGGATATATTGCCTGTACAGCTTGTTACTTTCCCACACTTTCTGATTGTTTTAATTGATTTATATAAGTGTATCTTTGCTATTTTAACTTGTGAGCCAACCTGAGTCACCTAAGTGAGATGACCAGCTATATAAATTAATTGAAATAAATACTGCTGCCTCATTCTGCCATAAATTTGGTGGAGTACATTCCTTTTTTGTAGCTTTATATAAATAAACTTAGCTGTCCGCAATATAATCAATAGTACTTAGTTAACTACATCTTCCCAGAAAAGAAAAAGGTAAACCTATTTCTCATTAGAAAACAAATCCAAGAATAAAACCCAGATGTTTCAGATCTTGGTTGCAATATCAGGATGATTATTAGACAACAGCAGAGTCATACAATTTACATTCTTTGTTTCAGATTATTCCAAACCAGATATATTACGCTAACTCTAGATGGTCTAATCTAAATTAAGTCACCTACTTCCAGAGGCTGGGCACTGTTGAATCCTATGAAAAGCGCTCATATTGAATGTATCCGACAAGAGTCCCATCACTGGTCACTTGAATGTCTGCCCAGTATTTGTTTTGATGAAGAAAGATCTGACAGCATATTAGAGACGATGTAACCAGAAAGTGCATAAATGATACAACAATATACCATCATTTTTTTTTAAAAAAAATCAAATTAAGCATTGCAGAAAACTACACTAATCACCCTCCAAGCGTTTCTCCCCAATTGCCGCCCCCCCAAAAAAAACAATGCTGACTTTTCAGCTGGCCTTGGCCGATAGCATCCATGCCCCTGAAAATAATGCGTCGTCTTCGAAGGGCTCAAGAACTATGGGTAGCCGCATCTGCCGTTCTGCCGTCTCCAAAGAACACGCATCAGCCAGTCCCCGACGCGCTGAGGATCACCCGGGGGTGCGAAGAAGGAGGACCTGCCAGGGGAGACCCACTGGCGCAACCAAGCGCGCTTCGTGGTTGGCTATTTCAGCTGGGTCCTCAGAGCTGGGCGGGGCGGAGGTGAGCGAGCCGGGCTGGCAGCGACACGATCGGAGGCGGCGTATTACGCGCCAGCGCCACTTCTGCTGCTGTTGTTGCGGGTCCTTGGAGTCTAGTGGTGCTTGAATGAATGGACTGTCGCACGTATCTTTCCTCCCTCGCATCGTTCCAGTTTCGAAAGAGGCGGCGGCGGTGCTGCTAGAGCAAGGCGGTTGGGGAACCCGTGAAGGCCAGGCGGTCTCAGATTGCGCCAGAGACTTTAGCAAGTAAGACATCCAGCCATGAGCCGCATGTGTGGGATTTAAAGCCTGTTTTTTTTGTCACCGCTCCCCATTGCTCCCATTGAAAGAGCATGCTCTGCGCTCAGCCCGGCTTTCTCCAGGTAAGACACGACGAGAGTTGTCCCGCTTTGTTGGTTGGTCCTTCCCAGTGGTAAAAGTGCTGTTACTTTCAGTCGCCTTGGCTCACCTTGGCAAGCATCCTTCCATTCCTGCTCTTAGGAATGGAACCGCTCCTTCTACCTGGCTCACAGTATAGTAAAATGTTCCTGCTGTCTTTCTCTCCCTCCCTCCCTCCCTCCCCGAAAGCTGGAAAGGGTGTTATTGTGGCTTTGGGTTCCTACTCTGCAGCATTTTCCTCGTCGATTCGTGCCAGGCTCTTGTGTTGTTGCGGGATTGGATTCGGACATGTTCAGGGAGTTACCAAATGCATCCTAATAGAAAGCCGCGTTGGGAGGAGAGAAAGGTCGGGGCAGATTTTCTATATTAACGCCTATTTCAAGAAAGAACCAAAATGAGACATCTCTTTTGTGGCTTATCACACAAAGGATGGTAGTAATAGGCTAGGAACTAGCATGTCATAAAACATCCTGTAAAGCTTTATTAATTGATTTGTTTCTTTATTTAAAGGGAAGGAGAATGTGGATGAGTGTGAAATGACAGCAAATCTGTCATTTTTGTTTTTGTTTTTATTCACCTGCTGGCATCTGATTGAAAATGCCAGAGAGTGGGAGGAAGATAGCAGGAGGATTCTGTTTATGTATGTACAATACAGCATTTATTTTTTGAGTTTCTCCAAACTATGCCACCCCTTATTTTCCTTGTTCTAAAGGGAATATGCATATGCAAGAACACCTTTATGTTGTTGCAAGATTGGAGAAAGGAGCTGGGCCCTTTTGGAATTCAATTGTTCAATTTCAATTCCAACTATTAATAGAATAATAAGAAAACATGAGAAACCCCTTATTAGTCGTACATCACATAAACCTGACAATGTTGATACATTCTGGTTATCAGATGTCCGTAGGTTTGATATGTTTTTTAATAGCCTTTGACTGGATGTCATTGCAGCAAATTCTTACATATGAGTTTTTGCTTATCTCCTCCTCACCCCCATCTTGTTTCATGATGATGAGTGGTATTTCATTGACTTAGTTAAGTATTTCTGGTTTGTTTTCATATGTAATTTAAAATTAAGATCAATGGTGCAATCATGAATAATGCAGATTTTTAATTTTTTGTTTTAAAATTTTTTTCTTTGCTGCCAATAGACATAGAAGTAGAAAGGTAGAGCTCACTGGATTTCACTAGTATATGTTCTTCAAATGAAAATGAACATTGTTTGGCCTGGTTTGTCCTGTTTACGTTCATTATTTTTAGAACTGCAGTGACACCCCTATTATGCTGCACACAGCAGAAGAGGAGAGTTGTTTTACAGCAGCCAGTCAGGCTGGGAAGAACTCATTTTACTAATTTGTTTGCATTTTTAATTTACCATTTGATTCAGTGGGGTGCATCCCTGGATTGCATAGAGCAGTATTTAAGGGATAGAGAAACTGCTGCTTGGACAATGTAACGTAGCAGGTGGTCAGCTGTTCCCTTGTAAAGCCAGGAACATATGAGGATTTTAGGTACTACAATAACTCATTTTAGCTGGGGGATTCATTTGAAAATTTAGATTTTCCACCAAGAAGGGATTATAATTTTCCTACTGTGTGCCTATCTTTTGTGAAGCAATGAAGTATACTATAGTATAGTGTGTTGAATGGAGTGTATGCTTCTAAAATATACAATTGTTTTAAATAGTATGGTGCTATTTTTATTACTAATATGAGCGACATCTTATTCAGTTATGATGCATTTTAAATAAAATCCTGCCAGTACTTTGAAAAGACATTAGAAAGCAGACTCAGCTGATTAAAAGTATATTTTATCGCTTTGCTTTTATTTTTTATATTCTATTTTTATAATTGAGTATTGTGAGTGAGAATGTTTATTTTGTTATAAAGATAATTGTTGCAGACTGATTCAATTAGACATTGAAATTTAGCCAATGAAATCCTATATTTTCTAACTTTATGTAAAAATATTATTTTGTGGTTATTTAGTATAGAGAACCATAGAGATGGCCTTGGAGAAACTATACAACTTCAGTTAGAATGGCAGTATTTTATTCCAGACAGGAAGAAGAAACCATTAGAAGAAACTCAAACTAGTTCCACCTTCATTGTCTAGAGTATCACAGGGAAAATGCACTCAGGCTTTCAAGATTCTGTTACAGTAGCCTTTATCAGTAAAACAAAATTCCAGTCAAATTTATGGAATATGTTTCCTGACCTGGCCTATCCTAAAAGATTGAAATCTAGTTTCTAGCTAGAAATGTTCAAATGTAATACAAAAGGGAATGCATTCTTTTTTGAATGAGTACCGTGTTTCTGCAAAAAGACGACCCATCTTGAAAAGAAACGTTTTTGAGCGCATGCGATCAAATTAAGCCCCACCCACAAAATTAGCCCTAATTAAGACCCCGCCCACCCCTGGGTACAGGGGGTGGGATGAAAAACAGTGGTAAAAAATAAGCTAGGGTGTGGATGGGTGTGGAGCTGCCCTACTTACCAGGCCTCGCACACCCCAACACCTGCTTTGCCTTCTTCTGCGGCTGCTTCTTCTGCGGCCGCTTGACGCCACTCGCATGCATTGCCCTGGCCCGCGTTTTGCCTTCAGATGCTTGCCGGAAGGCATCTGCATCTGATAACAGAGCTCTGGATTGATTTGGACCTCTATTATCAGCTGCAGAGGGCTTTCTGTTATCAGCTGCAGATACCTTCTGGCAGATATCTGAAGGCGAAACGGAGGCCAGGGCAATGCATGCAAATGGTGGCAAGCGGCCACAGAAGAAGTGGGCCAGCAGCGGGCTCCTGCTGGGCGGGGCTGCCAGTGCCACCACCATGAGGTGAGTCAATAATTAGAACCCTCCAAAAAGAAGGCCTAGCTGTTTTTTCTGGGGTCAAAAGAAAATAAGACCTGGCCTTCTTTTTGGAGAAACATGTTAGTTATAATTAATTCCTATTAATGATGTGTAATTCTAAATACTGAAGTCATTTAGATATATGCATTTTCTTTACCTCATGAGTTTGCTATGGATTTCTAAGCAGCTGATAAATAATGTCTTTAATTCCATTTACAAGAGTTATGCCCATCATAGTCATATGCCATGACAATCATAAAATTGCAAACTTTTTGTGGAGGTCATTAAGTGAATGCAGTGATCATAAAGCGACTGCCACAAACATTAAGTGAATGCCATGGTCATTAAACAAACTAATGGTTTGCTATGGATGCTGTTTTGCTGAAATTTGGATATAAATGCTGGTTTTCTGCAAAATCATTATAAAATGTGTTCATGTGACTGTGGGATACTGCAGGCAGACATAAATGTGGCCTTGGTGCTGAGCACCCAAAGTTCAGTCACGTGATTGCAGATGTCACCCGACCATCAGAACTTTGAATCCAGGTCTTAAGTAGCCCTAAGGTAGGTTTGTTCTAACTTGGAAGGGTTGCTAAGTAATTGGTCATAAGTCAGGAACTATCTGTATATGCATGGATGACTTTCAACAACAGTTCAACCACAAAACAGTAAGTCTATCCTATAAGACAAAAATTCCCTGGCTTCCAACAAACTATTCACAGGCTCACATCTCATTTTAGTCAGACCAAAGAGAGGCTGTCCCACAAATAGCCTTACCCTATGCACCTTGAATTATACCCGTAAAAAAACTGAAGCCCGTGCAGCTCACACAACAGAAGTATAATAGTCATTAAGCAAAGGGTCCCCAACAATGCAGACACTTTTCCATTCTGGATCACAATATAACTTCCAAAGGATCTTCAAGGATAGTCTGATGTAGAGCATATTGCAATAGTCCAACTGAGAAGTTCCTGTGAATCAGTCTTCCCTATTCAGGAAAAGATGCCATTGAGATAAAATAGGAATTTGTGGAAAGGCCCTCTGGCTATGGCTTCCAACTGTCTTCTAACAGGATCTTGGAATCCAGGAGGACCTCCATATTGTGGACCAGTTTTACTTGTGCTTTTGCTTTGTCTTAGACACCAGAATACGTCATAAATGATGCTAGGGCTCCTGCATTTCTTCATTCCAAAATACATCCTTTGTTAAAAATGAACTGCAGGTCAGAAGTTTTAAAGTAGCAAATAATGCACCCTGGTTACTGCATTATGTTCAATCTATTGACTGAACCAGTCTTGCTTTTTTTATTGCATGATAACATGCAACCTTCCAAATGTCAAATGCCTCCATCTATTCACCTTCTCAAATACTGGCTTAAGTTGAGGAAACTTGGAATCCATCAACAACTGAAGATCAGTGTTCCCCAATCAGATGAGTTGGATTTATATCTGTCATTTACCATTGCTAGGATTTATTGTATTATGTGAATTGAAATCCAGCACACAAGAAAGGCAAATATTTCAGAAAGACTTCCTATACCATGAATATAATAATGTTTATATGACTGATCTGTGAAAGGAGATGCTTAAAAAAGCTCTAGCAGTCAATCATTGATTATGTATTATCAAATTGTTTTCAACTCCTGGTGATTTGATCTTCTTCATGGCAATCTATTCTAACCTGTTCTGTCAAGTCTCCCAACAGTGCACTCAGTGCCACTATAACCAAGTCCATCGACCTTTGCTACTAGTCATCTTCTTCCCTTTCCTTCTACTTTTCCCAGCATGATGGTCTTTTCCAGAGCATCATATAATATAGATATCACTAAGATGCCCATGCAAATTGTAGGAATGTCTGATGTTTATTGGCTGCTATTCCCTAATTAGAATAAAGAGAACATTTTTTCTCAGTTCTGTTATTAGAAAATGGACTCTAAAACAGGGATTTTGAATTTGTTTTCAGGCTGTGGAATTTGATAGCTAAAAAAATATATCCCCAAATCCAAACAAAGCTCTAGTGCAGTGTTTCCCAAACTTGACCCTTTGAAGATGTATGGACTTCAACTCCCAGAATTCCTCAACCAGGCATACTGATTGGGGAATTCTGGGAATTGAAGTCCATGCATCTTAAAATAGC